GGTAGATGGATGCAAATTTGCAGAGGAATAGCACCGTTAGAGTAAAAAACTGACTGAGAGAAATCCAAAGCAAGGCACCTCGGTTGGTGCAGTAGATAGCACGTGAGCCTCCAAGAAAGGTAAACGCGGGTTCGAGGCCTGTCTGAGGATCCGAGTTTGCTACATACCTCAGCATCTTGTATTCCATGTAATGCTCTGCCATGAAAAAGAACAATGGGCAGTAAATGAAAGTTAACGTTTAGAAGTAATTCAGAAGGTCACCTTTCTATTAACCTCGGCATTGATCAATAGTTCACTTTTCTCTTTAAAAGCACACACGAGGTTGTCACTTTGCTGTTTAGTCACAGATAAAAACTGACCGAAAAGCAGTTGACTTGACCTTTTGAAACCCTGGTGAAAGCAAAATGCGCCGAATCGTCAGATGTTTTGTGAATAAAGGGTAAGGGGACAACCTTGCGCGCACCTATCAAGAATGCGGCGAATTATTTGAAAAAAAGTCATTGAATGGTTTGTTACTGTATATTACTCAGGACAATCCGTGTAGAGATAAGAGAAGAAGCCACTGGCATCAAAAACTGCCAATAACAACTAGTCTAAACTAGGGCGAAGACCATGTTAAAACGTGCGAAACACTTTTTTCACATATTTAACCTAATGGAAGGCTTCATCATCGTTTACAAGATGGTAGCTACTCATTATTCATGACAAAGAGCTCCAAGATCAGCTTCTATCACTTAATCATTTAAGGAGTAACGTAAGGCGTTTCAGTTTAGATCATCTCGTCGCTTTTCCTTCCAACAGTGGAGGAATCGTCAGAATCACCGTCTTATTTCGTAACCGTGGATCTGCTCGATCTTCCACCTTACGACAGAGCGTCTGGCCTGCGTGTCTCCAGTACCAGTACAAACGGTGTTCACACGCATTTCAAACCGAAACAGACAGTATTCTATAAGGTATGAGTACCACTATGTGATTTATTTGTAGTGTAAAACAATGTAAAAACATTACAAATGCGCTAGTGTTTTATATCACCGGAATGTTTTGTAAGGTGAAGAAAAGTTTCGAGCCACTATTATCTCAGATTTTGGTTTTTAAATGAAAAATTCTAGCGAAACAGAACTGAAGCACTATTTACACTAGCCGTAGTTCAGTTTTGCATTCGTAGCTCAAGAATAGAATAGAAAGTTTTAGATCGCTCTGTCAGAGACGGCTTTCCTTCAAATTGGTGTTTGGCGTCGTTCAGCTAGTGGAAATTCTGTACCATTGGCCTACAGGGTTCTATCGGTGAACAAACTTCACAACGGTGATCACTGAGTATTAATGCAAACTTTATTTAGAATTGCCTGAAAAGGATTAAATCTTAAAGTACGCACAATGTATTGACCATTGACCTGAATATTTCTTTCGATAGAACATGGTTCAACTTCTTGTTAGATTTTTTCTTGGTCGAGTCTATTTTGCTTGATAGCGGAGAAAAGTTGCAGTAAAGCAAATTTAGGCGTCATCGAGCGAATTTGTCAGTTTCTTAATGTCTTAATAAGAACACCGAGTTTCTTCATTTCTGGTGCTTTACCATATAGCCTGCATATAAATTGCCAATTTTGTGCCGCGACCACTTTGGGTTACGCCTGTTTTTATAAACGGCCCGGAAAAATTATTGGAAAAAAATTGAGAAATTTATCCAAAAGTGGTTTTCTGTGACTTATCAAGTGTGGAGATTAGCTTACTGAAGGATCAGGTTTGGTACAAATTCTGCACTGGATAAGTTATCCAGTGGGTACAAAAATTATTGAAAATGAACTCGTTGCAATAAAGTATACTACTTAAAGATTATCTATTGACAACCCTGCATGTGGTCTGCAGTGTGTCAACCATTTTATATAGATAACGATTTTGTAATGATTCAAAAAAATATATAATCCAGTGTAAATTTTATACCGCAGTTTGTTTGCTTCAAGAAATCTCGGAGTGAATCTCATTGCTTTGTTGGAGTCTTGTCTTGCTGCAGGATACCGTCACGTCATTCTGCGATCTTCCGGAAACCAAAACCTTGGCCCAGCCTCATTGTTCGTATATTTCGACGTCTTCTATCATGTCATGAAAACACAAATTGGTAAGTATTCCGTCAGACACGAAAAACCGGTGGCTTTTGTACTCTGCTTTTGATCGCCTTTGTCTTCATTTTTTGCTGTTTTTGTCTGCAGTCATAAACCAGAAGTTGTTTAGCAGCTCACAGCGCTCTGATGAATCCATTCAGCTGCGTTAAGAAAGATGACTTCTTATCGATTGCGCTGATAAATCCGTTTGTCAAGCAAGGCGAACTAAAGGAAGAGGATGTAGGTTACTGTGACTTTGAAATTTCATCAGCTCCCAATCGCTCAGTCATTTTCTCACTGTAGCGTTTCACCTCTTAAAATGCTTAAAATATTCTTAGCATTCATTGAGAACATCTGAGCCTGTTTCCGTTAGCTCCCTTTTTTAGCCTTTTAGCTCTTTCGTCGCATAATAACATATGTTCTCATTTCTTCTTGCTACATAGAACACTTCCTGCCTACCAACATGTTTCCACAAGTTCCTAGAATTTTGTGTTTAATAAAAACCAATAAGCAACACATAATCTTGATCAAGGACGACTATCGACAAGCGATCGTAGGCACAACTAGAAAATCAACAGAGGACTTGACTGCCCCAAGCCCTCCACCATCTCCTCTTGGCGGATCTCTTGACAAAAAAATATCGAAGTAAGCAATTAACGTTCTGTAATTCTAAAATTTTCCGGTCGACCAATAACTAAAGTTAGTAATACTGTAACCTTGAAAACAAAAAACTTAGATTCCTTGAGCTTCTTTTCATACTTTTATGACTTAGTTGGCAGTTTTCAGGACATTTAAGAAAATATGGAAATTCTTCAATGAATAGTCGGGGAAGACGAATAACTACGAAAAGAAAACCGTGCACCCTGATCTACTCTTCGAATGAAATCTAGTCATGGTGTAGTACTACTGGAGTTGGCATCATTATTAATACAATCTACTTGTCGTCATTGGCTCTTATGACGATCTAACGAAGTTCCAAACCCTTCCCACTTCTCATTCATACGGTCTCAAGCAAGTGAAGAAATTACTTTATATATTTGAAGTGGATGGCTTTTCTCCCATGTAGGTATAGAATGATCATTACAAATTACGAATGCACTAGTATGAAGTGATTTCTACACCACTACCTGTGTTTCTTAACAAACAGCTCATCATCTTCATTTCGCAAGGAATAGATTGTTGGCTTGGGTAGTCTTCTTCGGGTAGTCATGAACATCATAGTTTTATGCAAAATGGAGAAGAAATGAAGAAATTTTATTCCATAATTTTTTTCTCTAGCGACATTGTTAGTGGTCCTAATAACCTTCGATATTGTCATTCATTATTAGATGTTGCCTTACATTTTAATTATATTTGTATCTTATTATTTTTGAAATGACTGGGTACCATCGAGTTGTTCACAAGAGCTTAACCGTCATAGAGACACCCTTCCATACCGTACGCTCCAATTCTTTTTGGTCTTCTTTATTCTTATTAACTGGCCCAAATTTCTATTGTTGTTCGTAATCTTTGCAACAGTTGCGGGATTTTAGTTTGGCAATAAGACGCCGTTTCTCCTCCTTTATTATATTAGCAGTTTGAATACATCATATTTATTGTCGTGGCAGATTGCGTTTTCTGTAAGACAGACGGAACCGTACGAATTTAATTCTATCACTACTTGTAAGGAAGCCGGCATGGATGCGTAAATGATTTCTAGTTATAAACCAGTACTATAATTTCTTCTATTAAAGGATAACATTCTGAATAAAAGCATTCGTGCACGACCGTGCATTAGCTCACACTCGTGGGCCGATTAAAGAGATTTCTCTGCTCCGTTGAATTGTCACCGACTGTGGCTAGAAGGCTGCACTAATAATATGAGAAAGTATGAAGGTGGTTTAAAGTCACTAACGACATTCTCATAAAAAACACACGTATGTGGATTATGCTCTGAAAGTCAATTCCCTCGATAGGCTACGGTCAAAGCAGCTGAGCAGTAATGAAGGTAGTTTGGAGATCTATCCAACAATCATGATCTGGTTTGAATTTTCCCTAGCAGAATGCGACATTCTTCTCATGAATGCATCAAGCTTCCACGTCGAACTCGGCCAACGTCTCATGGACAAGAATATAGATAAAAGATCTCACACGAAAAGTATAATCTGCGTCGTGTCAGCCAATGAGCGGAGCGCGCGGGTCAACTCAGGTACGCGACAGAGAAGAAGGGACGCTTCACTGGTGCAAGTCTGAGTCATTCGATGGTTTGTCAGCATTTGATGATTTTTGTGCTGTGTACACTTGATAATAAAATTGTTTGCTCAGGAGTTATAAAACTTCATCTTAACATTTGTAGAACTGCGAATAACTTAGATCTAAGGAGGATTGGATTTTAACCTTTACATTCATCGTCCTTAGAAAACTTTTCTAGCAGATATATAAAACAGAAAAAAATTGGAAAAGAAACCCATTCATTACGACTATCCTTCGATCTCTTTAGTTTTCATTTACTTCCTGTTTTTACGAGATGTGAAAGAAAACGCGGTGAAATACACTTCTTACTAAGAACATCTAAGTAATGCATAAAAAGAAAAATGAAAAAATGATAGGGGATATTTAACATAATAATTGGGCTTCAGACTGAAATGATTCCGATAGCGATGATGATGACAATGATGACAGTTTTTTTTCCCAGGAGTGGTGATCATCCACTGAACTCAAAGTTACCCTAGTTGTTACTCCTTGAGTCAAGCGTCATGGGTTGCTTTACTGCAGATTCGGTCCGCTTCGGCTCTTGTTCGGATTTCTTCTTCGAGCCGTTGTCAACATAAGTTGGTCTAACATCATGAAAGGCGCTTCTTGTCTGCAGATTTGCTGCGATGCTACATTTCGTAGCTCTCCGTTTTCGATCACTGCTCTCTTCTTCTATTTTTTTCTAGAAACGGTAATATTCTTAAAATTTTCCAGATCCCACATATTTAATGGTTCTGGAAAATCTAAATGTAAAGCAATGCAAAGAATATGAGCATGTAGTAAGAAATCGTCGACAAAAAGTGGAAGCGTTGCGAAGAAACTCACTTGTTCATTTGGAATAAGGAACATTAGCAGAACTGGGAGAAAGAGGAGACCGTGGATCATTGAAAATAAAATGACTAAGAATACAGTCTTGAAGAAAATTTGCACGATATAGGAATCGACCAATGTCAGTACCGTAATTCCAAGAATTGTTGAAGACGCTCCCTAGAAAACGGAAAAAATAATCACCACAGCTTCCATAGACAAAAACCGATTATCTGTGTTTTTCAATTTCAGGCTACTATTGTAGTTAAAGCAACTTTATTGCAGTGTCAGCTTTTAATTTATTGCACATTACAATTTTTCACGGCAAAGTTTAATGTGTGAAAGAACCACAATGTTGCTGAGATATTCGCAATACTTTGGACCGCAGGTGTCTGCGGTGGGAAACGAATGCGCTATATTCCTTTCCAGGGGCTAAACGCATTCACCAACACACATGCGGATCCTTTGTTTCGCCTGTCTCTCAGCTAGTTCTATCGAGCAGTGCCATCAACAATCACCCATCGAGGGGAATGAATTGAAGAAAGCGAATTTTGTGGTTTAAATGTAATGTAAATCATTGAGTTACCAGATGCCGTGCCTTTGTTCTGCTTAGTCGACTTACCTAATTCTTAAACGGCTCGTCCTCACTAGTTGTGTGAACCCCAGCATAATCACCATTTTTTGGAGACTTGCTGGTTAAGCCATTGTGGTTCCCTGAAACCCCGAGAGACAGCCTGGCCAAAGTGTGCCCTAGGTCGACCACGACAGGCAGTCGCAGCCCTTGTGAATCAAAGGGAGATTTGTCACCATGCGACTTTGATACTAGGACTGTGGCGGGTCCTAGTATTAGTCATGGCTTAGTCGACTACTCGAACCAAATTTTCGTAGACGACTCAACAGCACATGTTGCTCAAATCCAAACAGTTTTTGGATTCGATTTGTCGCCTCAGATCTGTCGTTAACGATATTTTTCGGATTTTTGAGTTTAAATAACACTCGATAATTCTTAACTTTCTTCATAAATTTCGGTGAATGCTGGTCAAAATCATCCCTCGTATAGGTATGGCTATGCTAGGGCGTTCTCCCTCTACATCACAAGAGGCTTCATCTTTTGTCGACTGCATGGAGCAACTAATTCCAGAAAAGTATGGTACCGATTCACCTACTCGGTATGGATAGAGAAGCCTGTATGGCTCCCCGTTGGGGTCGAATCAGCACTTTACTCGTAATAAGCGGCGTCGAAACCACTTCCGAAATGTCACTGCCAATAGAAAGTTGGAAACTTATAATTTAAGCGCAAATGAATATTAAATATCGTTTAATTTTTTAAAAAGACTATTGGATTTCAAAGTGAAGAAGTAGAGATGACAAAGACCTACCAGGAAAACTGGCCATCCTAGTGTCTCCATGGCGAACACTACCCTTTTCTGAGCGCTCCCATAAGCTTGGGAATAGGCGTAAGCGATATGAGCTGACAGATCAACGGCAAACCCGATACACATAATGACCTAAGAAAAGTTCGGCAGTGCTTTTAATGTCAATTTCAACTGCCAGATATTTTCTCAGAATCGTTCTGCAACAGAAAATGTTTACTCCTTTCACATAAATGAAAGGAAATCAGATTAAAATCTTCCATGATATAACTGGTAAAATTAAAGATCGGAATAAGATCGCTTTTGGTCCGCGATTAACCCCACCTGGGGACGCGCCACGTAGCCTCGTGACTAACCGACTCGAAATCCCTCATATGAGGGAGATCCGTGGTGAAGACAAAATCATAGTTGGAAAAATCATAGAATGTGTACAGAAAAGCTGTGCAGATAAGTTAAAGCTGAGAAGCACCGAAAAGGTTTCACTAGATTTAGACAAACCGTATCTCAAACGACAATTTCAATTATGACTCACTAGTCAAGAAAGACGTTTATGGCTTTCGCTATGTGCAATAGTTTCGCACTAGGTTTTGATGCCTGCGTCAAAAAGCTTTTGAGCTCAATTGTAACATAATAAGAACGATATATAGGGTTCAAGCTAGTTCGTTTATGTTCATTCTTAAAAGTTTACTGTAATACTTAATTTGAAACACAGACCAATTAGTAAATCATGGCTAGACGACCTTACAAATTATAGAAAGAAACCTACCGTTATCATCGACACGCTATCGAGATTAACACCCCAAAAAGTCATAAATCCTAGTACTCCTGAAATGTCCTCCTATGTGAAATAATTTCTAATCTAAAACCTTTAATTGAAGGAGATCTGAGAGCTTTGGAAATCGAAACACGAACCGACGTTTATGCTTGCAATACAAAGAACTACAGCGAACGCTGCCCTGATATCCGGTATCATTACCATTGTGACGACAAACATTGAGAGCAAACCAAGCTTGAAGTTTCGCACTAATGACGGCTTGAGTTCGAGGTACTAAAATAAAACTTTATTTTAAACAAGGTCGTATTATGGAGAACTTTAACGGTAGCTTTAACGGATTTCCTCAGCTTATGAAGGTGCGATTCTCAAATTCATTTTTTACTTGTAAATTCGTCCATATACTCACTGTTATTTTCCACAAATTTGCATTTTTCACGAAGAACTAGGAAATATTTAATCTGTGCATGGAGATATCTAATTTTTTCTATACAGCATGAAGTCCATCCTTCAAACAAGGTTGTCTGAACTATGTGGGGAGGTTTTATCGATTAGGAGGCTTCCTTATCCACCGGGACTGTACAGTGTGTGTCCTTGACTTTTGAGAATGTATACCACATCCATAACCGTCACCGTCTTTCTCTTCGCATACTTAGAGTAGGTGACAGCATCTCTTATGGCGTTTTCGAGGAAACCGCGAGTTTCCACATAGATCATTTTCGAGATGCGCTTCGCACCACTACGACGAGAAAGACGACAAATCGCCGGCTTGGTCGCTAGCTCTGAGCACTTTACGATGGTATTTCGTTCCTCTTTTGGCTAGCCCTTTTCCTCCTTTTCCGCCACCATAGACGATGGGCAAGCTGACACACAGTAGACAAATCTTCCATTTGTTTCGAACGAAAAGATTCGTTTGCCCTATGCTAGTTTGATATGTGAAGTTCTTTTTCGCTTTCGTAAAATATGCTAAGAATCGTATAAACCGCACATATTAAACAACTGAGAAGAAGCCGAAGCATTATGAGTTGGCAAGTCAAAAAATTTCATATTGGTCTTGATCTTGGTCTTCATATTCATTGATCCTTTCCGAATTCCAGTTGAAGTTAAAGAAGATTTTCATAAAGCTAATTTAAACCTGGTCCGCAAATGGATAGTATTCGTGGAACGTCGTAACATTGAAAATCGCATATTTGGAGGCAATCTCACGCATCAATTTGCAGCTGTTCGTATGGTCCGTTGGTGTACGGTAATTCCTTAGACCAAGTTGAAACCGAAACGCCTTCAGTTCGTAAAAGTCCTACAAATAGAAAATTAGTACCGTGCATAAATCATAAATCTTATGTCTGAGTCAGACGAAACGAAGGACCCGCATGGTGTGGTGGTGAACGCGTTACTCCCCGGAAAGGACAATAGCGCGTTCGTTCCCCACCATAGACACCTGCGGTCCAGAGTTTTGCAAATATCTCAGCGTTATTAAAGTTATATTTCGCAACATATACTTTGCCGTAAAAAAGAGTAGGCAGTAAATAATAAGTTAAAATTGTTATTATAACTGCACCTTCAGCTTAACTGGGTTCGTTGCCGATTTGTGCTACCCAGATCAATCCCGCTGACGGGTGATTGCTAATGAAAACAAATCTATAGGACTAACCGAGAGTCAGGTAAAACGAAGGACCTGCATGGTGTGGTGGTGAACGCGTCACTCCCCAGAAAGGACAATAGCGCGTTCGTTCTTCACCGCAGACACCTGCCGTCTGGAGTTTTGCAAATATCTCAGCATCATTAAATCCTATGTCCCTCGTTATTTTGTTAAGCAGAATAAAAACATGAATAAACGAAAAACTTGAAGGAGACCTTTTCTAAAAAATTATGGAAGCAGAGAAAACGAAAGAAGGCGGTACCACCTAATGTGCATATGGTAACGAAAACAGATTTCTTCAAACTACTAATCAAATGTATCTAATCTTCAAAAAAGTGCTTTATAACTGGATTTAATTGCCTTTACTGCCAAACCACAAAAATCTGTTTATGGTAAGAATCTCAACCAAAGTTTTCACATGGCCTTTAATCCTGTCGAAAAGCAGCATTTTCTGTAGTCCATAATTTCGAACTGTGAAAAAGTGAACAACATCGGGTGATGTGCCTAAGGCAAGTGATCGCTTATTGAAGTAGAACGAACAGTTGGCTACGCCGTGAATCGTGCCCCATGTATGGTTTCTTGAACAAAGAAAATTCGAAATTTACGTTATAAGGACCTGAGAATTTCTGGGTTTATCACCTGCTAAGGCACAGTCGCTAATTTTTCAAGATTCTAGGAAACACAAATGTTGTATAACCAGCTAACTAACAGTCGAATAAAAGTTTCTTCGAACTCTACTTTGCGTACTTTAAGGACAGAGGGCTCTAACAAAGAAATAGAACATAAAGCTAACCAGACCAAATGTCAGACGAACGGAAAGAAAGGCGAGTGCGTGGGCTGTGTGGGTGGAATAAATTCACACAGTTGGGTTAGAATGGCTAATAAAGAAGAAAGCAATTAGTTCGATCACCAGTTGTGTCGTTTTCACGAATTGTACGTCTAAAGGCATAATTTCCACTTTTTTGGATTGTTCAGTTTAAGCGAAATTATACAACTTCTATTCGGTTAACGTTTCGACGTCTCTATCTTCCTGTGGAAAGAATTTGTCGAGTCGTTGTCTATAGTCATTAACACTTTTGATGTGAGGTCTTGTCATATTCTGTGAAGTACTTCTGGAATGAAGTAACCTCACCTGGTGAAACTTTTTATAAAGAACGGTTGCTGACTGATTGCCGACTGATAAAGACTATTCATTCCCACGATTCACCCAGTAGCAGTCGGTATTAGAGTAGCTGGCACGTAACGTAGGAATACCTTGCTACAGCGACTTTCACTTAGCCTCGGTATGGAAAATCAGTTAATTTCTTTGGAATGCTCAGGTTACGCGAGGTCGTTAGTTGACTTTTATTCAATTTACATTTGTTCAGTTTCCTTGACGTCATCACCTAAAAAAGTGGTCTATTTTGTAGTCTGTGAGCTTATGTCATGACAGATAACTTGTATCGAACTGGTGAAAATATCAATTAAAATGAAAAACAGAGAACCAACACACTATTTAGATGATCACCGCTTTCTAATTGGTTACACAACATAAGGGAATAAATCGGTATAAGGTTTGATAATGGATTACCTTCAAGCTTGTGACAATGCCAAAGATAAACTTGTTGATCCCACAATGACGCTGCCTTATACTTTTAAAACGTTGAAAAAGGTACGTAAAGATCGTGAAACACGTTTGAAACTTGATTCTTCTCAATCTCTCAAATGAATCACTCACCATCAACCAACCTGGTTTTCGTAGCTTAGAGCTCCAAAGAATATCCCATTTTCGAGATCAAATGGAATATTTTTGGTCAAGTAAACATCAATGTGGTAAGAAAAGAAGATAAATGAACAACAAAACGGTGTTAATCCATACAGAATCAAAACGAGCTCAAGCGCATTTAGGCTGTTCGTCATACGCACTGGGACAAATTTACTAGTTCTGAAGTTTCAGTCTGTCCTTCCTGCAAGACTGACCACATGATGAATGACTAACGCAGTACGACGAAATGAATGGAAGTACTATTGGGACAGGCGAAGGCAGGTAATCTGAGGAAGAAAGTACCTAGGTACTAGGTTAAACACCCTAAGCACAGCTATCTTGGTCCTCAGTGATAAAAAAAAACCATTCATCTCGGTTTGTTCTCCATATTCCCAGCATCTTTTATGGAATTCTATCTTTCAATTTTTTGGTTAATCGACAGCTTGTGAGGAAACTTTTCCCGAAGTGTGAAAAAAATCTTTTAGTAATACGTAGATTCAGGTTGTTACGTTATACTCTGGCTATTGGTCTGCTAAACACAGAAATGGCTACCGTTTTGGGAAAACCTAGTCGCAAGGCAGGATAGATAATGATAAAAGGCAAAGCACTTGACCTTAATCAATCCCTGAGAAATAATGGATATGCCAAGTTAGTGCTACTACTTTCCTAGAAAAGACTTACCAATTTGTCGAACGTGGAGGGACGGAATGCTCGGTGAAGGTGGGTGTGGGATCGAACCAGGAACCACTTGTGTATTGCAAGGCACGTCTAACCACTACGCTACATATACTATTTGGCAAAGCAGAATAGTTTTCTCAAATCCATTAGGGCTGACGAAGCCTGTGGTGAAGACCTAACACGGCAATGTCCGCTTTCCGAGGTCATTTACTCTGCCACCATTCAACGATATTCATAAGGAAGACCAAAGCTCGTCAAGCAGCCATCGAAGTCTAACTCGTATGTAATGCTAAGATATTTGCAAAACTCCGGAGGTGTAGGAAACCGCAGGTGTATGCAGTGGGGAGCAAACACGCGCTGTTGTCCTTACCGGGGAGCAGCGCGCTTCACCACCACACCATCCGGGTCTCTTCTCTTCGTTTTGTCTGTCTCTCAGCTAGTTCTATCGATCTTTTTGCCATCAGCAATCACCCGTCAACGGGATTGAGCCCAAATCGGCATTGAACCCAGTTAAGCTGAGGCTGAGTCATGATCACAATCTTAACCCTTTTATTTACGCTGAAGTGCGCTGCCCCCCGGTAAGGACAACAGCGCGTGTTCGCTCCCCACCGCATACACCTGCGGTCCGGAGTTTTGCAAATATCTCAGCATTACATACGAGTTATATTTCGCAACATACCTTGCCATTAAAAAAGGCGGTAAATAAAAGGGTTAAGCCATCGAAATCGTTTGCAAATCCGAAGACCTTCATGGAATAAGGGTGCTAGGAGAGGAATCAAAAAAAAAGCGCTGAGAGTATCACAATATGTGTTTTAGAATATCATAATACAAAACGAATAGAAATCGTTTTAACATATTGCGTTTCTATTCACTCAGCTTAGAATAACTACCTATGTGAAACAAGTAACTGGAGAGCAATTATTTATTTCATCAACTTTCAATGCTTCCTAGAACCCATCGCTGTGGTTTTTGACGTTGTTGGGAATTCTCATTGATATCAAAAATAGATATACACAAGTCATGAAATCGAGTTCTTAACCCGAACGATGTGCAAGTATGCCTATGCTCAAAAATAAGTTAATATGGAACAGCAGAGATAGGATAGCACATTACTTGATTCACCTGAACATCGTTGTAAGTATATATTACAGCCCAACACATTAATATCCACCCTTGGACCTTCCACATCGTTTTGAAAAAAGCCGTTATAAGATCTCTACTTGATAGAAAGCTAATATTTTTGCAAGACATCACTCGAAAGCCAAAAGAAAAATTTCCATGAATTAACGAAATTTTCCTATTCCATTTTGTTTCGTCCGCATAGACATAAATACTTTTTCCTATTTACATGGAAAACACAGAAATCCGAAAACGGAATCGTTGAAAAGGACTAAAATAGATAGAAATTTATGCGTTAAAAAACAAGAGCAACCTCCTTATTTTGTCCCCACACCATATCCTTCTCCCAAAGTCGTCGGCCGCCAGCCACCAGCAGCCAGTCACGGCAGCGGCGGTACCATTCAGATGAACTGTAAATCTGCTGCTTTTGATGAAAAATGTGGCTACTTTTTGAAAGCTGAATCTTATCAGCTAGTGCATTCTCAAAGTTTTCTGTATCCTCTAAGGTGGGGCATGAGTCCTCTAAGCACTCACATGTTTGACATTTGAGAAAACATTTACTTACTTCGCTGGTTTCTCGATGTTCAGTTCGGTCTTCTCCCTCTCCAAGTGCATTTCGTATGCTTTTAGCCATATCATCGTAGCATTATGATTCATCGTATAGTAGGTGTTTTCGAAATCTTGAAATGTTTAAAGAAGTTTTCGACAAAGTGATTACGAATTCTACTATATGAGTACATAGAAGAGCTAACAATAAAGTGACAGAAGGTTAACGTTGTATCGACGTTGAAAGCCTGAATCAAAAATGGAAGCATCATTCTTTTGGATTTCAACTTTGCTGTAGGAATGCGACGTGTATTCAATTCAGCTAAACATCGCAAAAAGGCGACTGAATACATATTGCACCAATATAGTGAATTGCGAAAGTTTACCGATGTTTGAAGTCAGCATCTCAGCGAGGACAATTCGGCTTACACGAGGTATAATACACGTGTAAACTGAATGATCTTAAAAGATATTTGATTACTCCAGTCGAGGTTAAATAACGCTCGGTTTTAAAAAGTATGAAATCAGTGTTTTCTTCTCAGAGATATGATCGGTATCAATCCGCCTTCCCAGGAGGTAGGCCTGGTTGGCTCTGGAGACATGATTAAACCTATGAATGTGCGTCGAAAAAAATTCTACGTAGCGCATTACACTAACTTTCATTTATCATTAATAGGTGGGCAGAATCAAGAATGACGTAATTAATAGAAGATTTCGAAAAGGGAAGTAAACAAAGGTGGGGGAGGGGCCAGCGGAGTGGTTAATGATGCCGTTTGTTAGGAAGTAAGGTGCTGGATCAAGCTCCTCCCCAACTCTTTCCACCAATCCACATGAGACCGCCTTCGCTCGGCTATTTCCGAGATTGCACAGAGAATTAACTGGACAATCATTCTTCGGCATTTATAACGAAGACGAATTCCTCAAGCAGCATCAGAAGCCACAAAGAAAAAAGTCCGAAGACGACTAGAATTCAAGAATTGTTAGGATCCGCACAGTAGATGTGGTGACGGGTCTTGTAATAATGGAATAATAACAATAATATTATACAACTACAATCTCACTGAGGTATCTGCAAGACATCACAGGTCATCTTTAAGCCCGTGACTACCCTTTCCGGGAGCTTACGTCTTAGCCACTGTGCATCCGGAACGCTTGCTTTGCCCTTCTCTCAGCTAGCTTTTAACCCTAGCGGTGCCACCCGCAATGATCCGGCCACGAGAATGATCTGCGAATCACGAACCGATATTGAACCCAATTAAGGAGGAAGGTGCAGTCAAAACCACAATGTTTTAACCTCTGTTTGCTGTTATTATTCGTTTATGGGAGAGTATTACAAAGAGAGAAAGCGAGAGCAAGTGCCTCGGTGGTGCAGTGGAGAGGATGTTAGCCACCGGAAAGGCAATGGCGGATTTGAAGCGCGTCTGACATTCCGGCTTTTGGTCATATTTAGCGTCATTGTGGTTGTATTTCACGTAATACCCCGCCACAAAAAATAGTGAGCAGTAAATGAAAAATTAACAATACAATAATTTAGAAAAAAGTGAAAGGATGAAGTAGACCAACATACCACTTAACATTCTAGAGAATTCCTCCCGCGTCGATGAATTATAGAGGTCTGGAGGCTTATTTACAACAACCTGCATTTGTAGACCTTAAGAGCACTAAAATTCATGGCGTTCTCATGATTTTTCAAAAAAGTAAAAGTTTGCCAGGAATTTTCTAAAGAATCAGAAGCAACATCAAGCTGTCATTGACTGTCCACAGAGTCAAATATAGTGCCTAGAAATTTTGTTAAAAGATTAGATGTTCTGCAGTACCCCCTTCAAATCGATCGACAACTAACTTTAACTTTATTGAGATACTTCGGGTTGGTCTGGAATCCCGATATAATCTTTCTGTGGTGCACACAGGCTTCCACCGCAGGTAGTTCACGGAGAAATAGTTCATTGACTCACAAAGTAATCTTGCATAGCAGCCATACGTATAAGATCTCGAAATACCAGAAAAAAACTTCTCTTCGTGAATCCTTGGTTTTAGTTCAAATGACTATCTCTATCTATTATCCTAATTGTCTCCAAATTTCTGAGTTAATAAGGAAACTATTATGCAGAGTGTAGGCTTTGACAAATAGGATTACCCAAATAGTTCCGGACGCAACACGAGTAAGCTGCGAGAGAAATCTAACATTCTCACCTTCTTTCCAAAATGTTTCGTCAATAAGTTTGTAGAAGGTGCTTAAATAGAAGGATTCTCTCACGAGAAACTTCGGATCCAAGCCTTCTTTTATGTTTATACAACCGTAAATGGATAAGACTAAATAGATTCCATACAAAAGCATAGCGCATATCTGCAAGACGATTTTCACAATAATAGGAACAATATAAAAAAAGCTTTATATGAGGGTACTTTGCATGGAAAAACTAATAGACTTTTCTTGCAGAGAATTTACCTGAGTACTGCGCTCTAGAATAAATGGACCAATAATTTCACGGAAAAGTTTGTTGACGAATGTTTCCTCGTGAGTTGTTTCGCCTGCGTGCTGAAAGAAGGAACTCTCCATCTCTATTGCGAGTGAATAGCTTTGCTTGGTAGAGTTCAATTTTGGGCCGCTGTGATATTTTTGCAGTTGTTTTATTTAATGTTGAAAAAACCTACTTATTTGGATACTAAGATGGCCCGTCTTTACTGTTTGCGCGGGCTCCAGCACAATTTCCATTTCTGCGGAGTTTTGTTGTTTAGCCATTGTGGTTTCCTCGAGTCCCGAGGTTAACCTAGCCAAAGTCCGCCTCAGGTCGTTACCACCACAAGCAGTCGCCACCGTTGTAAATTAGAGGGAGATTTGCTGCCACGCGACTAGTTTGATATAAACGTGGTTCCTAGGATCGGCTTACTCTTAGCTTAGCTTCCTGGTGGAGACACCAAACTCCTTCTCAGCTTGGTAGGCCCTGCTTGTGGGATGAATCTCCTGCTGTACATCGAAACCGAACACTTAGGAACATCTAGTAAACTGTTGGGAAAAGTTTTTAAAAATATGACGCAGTGAAAATAAAGAAAATGAACAGTTTGCCCACTACGGTCAAGAACAGCCAAATGTGTAAACAACTGGAAAAAATGAACCAAAATGAATGAACAGCTTGCTCATGTCATGTATTAAAAAAAACAGCGATGTAAAATTTTTTCCACCTTTTCATGTTGTTCCAATTTCGTTTCCAACGTTTTCAGCGCGTCACTTAATTTGGACCTCCATCCATTCGTGGTTTTCGGATTCTCTAAACTATTTTTTTTACACTTATTAGTTCCTTTATTAGAAATCTCTCCGTGCTTAAAATAAGTTTTCTTAAAGACGGCAAAAGATTCTTTAAACATTAAAATTTGTCATAGTTCCATCTTACTTACTTGAAGGAACCTCGTTTGTTGATGGATTTGCGTGTGGTTTTCTTGATACGGAGCCAGCCAGTAAGAAGAGTTTCCACTTTGGTGCTGAAGCATCAAATAAAGGTAGCAATCTTTTAGCACTGTTTCTTATTTTTCTTAGACTTGCAGGTTTGAATTGAAGTCTGAGTATGGAAGGCTACGTGCAAGGAAGCAATCAGCTAATTTGTTTGACTCTCCAACTTCTTACTATATCACTGCCATATTTCACTTACAAAGTTGCCTATTTCGCACTTTTTCCTCATGAATCCTATCGAATTTGTAATTGGGTTCTTTGCTTTACTCCCTCTTCATCGCAACATTTACGAAAGCTAGTGTTCTATCGCTGGTTTTAGATTCTACTCTTATACCAGATTTTTGCTGCAGCGAAGAATTTCGTTAAGAATTCCAGAAGAATTTGCTGCTGATTGAACAAGAAGAAAAAAAAACGAAAAGGAATCTCAGTGTACCTGATCTGTTCGACTCCAAGGCCTTTCGAAAAAGTAGGGAGTGAGTACCACTATTTTCCATTTCAGCAGCATAGGCAAGAACTGGTGAGAAGAATGTGAGCTGGAATTGCAAACCGAATTGGTTGTTCGTAATACTTCAGCGATGAAGTCAAGTCTAAGCTAGTGATGAAGTTTTAAAGGTTCTTAACAAAAGACTGAGAAAAGTAATTGTACCTGGTAGATGTAGGTGAACGCAACTTGAACACTGGTGTAGAGACAAAACATTTGAACAGCGGGCAAAGTCGTGAAAATTCCGATGGCAAACGTGACCTACAAACACTTTCTAATTCTAACTGATTAACTACAGTAATTGATTCAGATATTAATCCAGCGTAGTTTATAAAGAGTGATAAAAGATTGCTCTTTGTGAGTAAGCGTTTGAGAAGCATTTTCAGATGTGGATAAGAAGAGGGAGGTAAGATTGTGTCGCTATTACCCGACGATTTCGGACCACTTCAGAACTAGTGAAAATGGCGCAATACCCAATACATTGGGTTGATTGAAATGGTTTGGGTATTACCGATCACACCTGACAGTACTTTTAGAACAATAATATAATAGAAATAAAACAAATAGCCTAGATAGGAAATAGTAAACGAGGACTTTCAAGTAGAGTAACCCATTATTTAGAGATTAGAAAACACGTTAGTGAACAAGGGCATAGGGTTTTGTTACACAGATATTTTATGGTTAATGTTCATTTCTGAAAAGTATATAGAAACAGTGAAAGGATTTTTTAAAGAAGTAAGGATTTTGGGGTTACGATAAAAGAGTTAGTAAATTGCAACGAATTCACTTTTTCCGCATCTCAGATTTCGTTCATGTAGTACTCCAAAAGACATTACCCCAACATCTTGACCAAGGTATACTGAAATGTTCATCCCCATCTCACGGTCACCGAAATAAAGCTAAAGTACGAAGTTCCATTTAAAAGTACAGCAACTAGAAAACCCTGAAAAGAGTTCGATTGCAAGTTAGTTAACTTTTAGTCGGGTCGAACCAACAACCCACGACCTTCAGTGGGAGCTATGTGTGCTGAATATGCAATCACAACACATGAGAAGTCTTTTCATATGCCGATTTTAAGATTTCTTCCATTTTCTTTGGAGTCGCAGGTCATACCCATTTTCACGTGATAGCTCAAAAGATGTTAGATCAAAAAGGTTGATAAAAGAAAACTGAATGGTACATACTTATCACTGTGGAGAGGATTCCGTCATCTAGGCTTCTTTTATCAACCGCAAGAGGTTACAAAAGCCACAATGAAAAGTCTCCTAACAAATTTTTAGTAAGACGCTTAAAATCCAAATTAGAGTGAGCTAGCTACGATATCGGAAAGTGTACAATAAAAAAACAATGGTGCTCTTGACACCACCGTAACAACATCTTCCTCTAGTGAATCCAAACATGAATACAAAACTGACTCAGCCACAAGATAGATAAAAACTCTTGGAATTGTTCGAAAAAACAAAGATAAGTTGTATGAGACCACTCTGGAAAAACTCTTTTCCTACATGGAAAGAACAAAGAATTCCCGATCGAAAACTCAAAAGCTGCATGGAGTTTGATTCACGAATTTTAAGTGCATCTCCATGAGAGAGTGGGAATGGTTACAGAGAAGAAGAAACTTGCAGCTGTACTCTCCTACGATACATTTAACAAAGGTAACAATTAATTCCAACTGCAAAAGTTAGGTTATTTTTAATTTTTTCTCTTGCTAAAAGTTTATTTTCTCAGCATTTTCAACCATACACGTAGGAAAGAAAAAACTTGAAAAACCTCAAAAAAGAAGAAGTAAAAGACGGACAACAGGACCTATACCAGTTTCAATATCAATCTTGATGAACGAGGACTAGATATTTGCCAGTCACCTCCATGATTTGGAATTAATAACGGAGAAGTTGGAAACAATGACGAAAGCCATTGATCCAAGGCTGAGCAGCACTTCCACAATTTTGTTCTTCAGCTAAAAGGCGAGTATTATTGGAACCGGTATCAGAAACTAAATGCCTTCAGAAGGAGAGATTCTGAAATAGCGCTGGAAAGCCATCTATGTTTGAGTCCCGCACGTAACATCACGGCTTTGAGGAAGGCGAAGTCGCCGAAACGTCAGCCATCGATCAGTAACATCAAAAACAACTACAACGACAACGAAGATCTGTACCAACCTCGCGTCAGCTTAAGAAGATCAGTTTATAATATCACATAAATAAATACATCTATGTTTGATTGTAAGCTGCGCTCTACAAGCTGTTTACAAGTATTGCCGCATTACTTATGTAACAACTTAAAATACACTTACTTGGATAATTGGACGGCCCGCTGGAGACCTCCGGTCTGCCTGGGCAAAGTGTGCACCCGATTGTCACCACCACTAGCAGTCTCCACCTCTGTGGATCAGAGAGAGATCTGCCACCATGTGACTATTTCGATACCGTTACGGTGGTGGATCTTCGTATTGGTTCACTCTTCGCTGGGTGATAGAAACCGTCTCAGTTTGGGAGACTCTGCCAGGAGGATGAATCCTCCCCAACACCCAGAAACATCTGCCAGCCACGACAAGGCGGTAAATTGTTGGGAGCAACTTAGAATATAGCCTGACCAATTGTGGAAGCAGAATTTCATGAAGGATTCTCAGCTTGGATCATGCACAAACCGTAGCCATGATCATAGAAATTCCTGCGCCCATGTGGAACAACGAAAACGGTATAAAAGACAAATTTTATGAAAAAGAGTTTCGCATAGTATGTGTAAGTCGAGCTCATGGGTTCGGAATTCTGGGTATATTTTCATAACTCGGAGGTTTACTTAAACCTCTTCAAAGCACATAAACCTCACTTGCAAGTGGCTCAGTTTAGACCTCTGAAAGCAAGTCGCCCTCCAAATCCAGAAAAAGAGACATGGAAAACAGGACATAGAAAACTTTCTGATTTGATGAGAAGAGTTTCTGACAAATAAGTAAAATGAATAATATAAACCTCCTAGGAAAAAGTGGGATTTTTTTGTGCACATGGCAATCTCGCCTGTTAACAGTTGCATAAAAATTATTGATTACGGGACGGTACTGTCAGGCATCATCATGCTCGAGACGGACAATCACCATGAACAATGATAACGACGGAATGAAAAAAAAGTATCCATCAACATGTAGTATTTCTGAAGACGACTCCCTTAAGTACGAAAGTATTTAAATTCTGCATAGCAATGAGTTCCGTCATTAGGTTAAAAAAGTCATGGATAACTCAGATATAAGTAAGTAAATTTCTTTATAAGCCCTAAAATATAACTCTGAAAATTGGCTTTAGTAAAAAAGAATGGAGGACATTTAAGTTCACGCTTGTCAAGAAATGGTCCATGTTCTTCAATGGTCAGCATTTCTGGTCGTTAGTTTTTTAGGCTTAGTTTTCCATGGCTTAAAAATTTTAGAATACTAAACCAAAAAAGAACAGTACTGCTCACAATGTCAGTAATCGAAGTGATAGTAATGGCTACGGCCGCTTCAGACAAAGTGTCAGCAACGCGACGAGCAGGCGAATGGTCAGGTTTCGTACGGTGCCATTCAGCTGACATGATGAAGAGGTCGTCAATACCAATACCTAAAACAAGGTATACGAGCTTTACATCAACTTTTCACATTCATTCTTTTACGGAATGCGCGAAATCTTCTACGAAATCTATGTCTATTCTCAATACTTCGGTGGAATGAGTTTTGCTAGTTTTCCCTGGTTCGAGACAGTTGTAAGAGTTAGTTGCTGAACAAGGAGAGCACCGCACACGTAAAATCACTTCTCTAAAACTGAAAGTGGAGGCGAATAAAATTTTTCAAAACAACCCAACGTTGGTTTAAACCGTTCTTCATGCAATTCCTTTTATGGAAGCACAAGAGAAAACATTTGGTAAAACTATGGAGTCAACTCACACAGAACAAGAAAAGGAGATACATTCACAATAGCGTTGTAGAGCTCACCCAACCACAGTAACAGTCCAAACGAGGTGATCACAGCGAGTAAAGGGCACCAAATACCTAAGAAGAATCGGTGATTGTTGTGAAAAACAGAAGGCCATAAGTTCAGTCGGAATCGTCTAAGAACGCTCTACGAGGTATCTGTCTAACATTTCATTGTATTGATTATTGAGTATTGATTGAGTATTGATTGAGAAAATCACTCGTTATTCAAATAATAAATTATTAACAAACAAATAACAAATAACAAATTATTGCTGTCACTTGGCCGTGGCTGTTACTTTCGCATATTGAAGCGATATTGTTGAATAGTCTCGAAATCACCAACTTTAGCATCAAAGCTACGGTTATGAATTTCCGAAAGCAATAACTCTTCTATTGCTTTCATTTGAACCTGAATGAACCATGAAAGTGAAAATTCAGCGAGATTTCCGAACAACGAGACTTCACCAGATAATCGTAAAATATTCTCGAATAATATATTGATTAGTTCCACAAGTCCTACAGTTAGGAGAATTGAAATGATTAACTGTAAAGTTACACAGCCGGTTCGACAAAGGGAGTTAAGCGAATATCAAAAGCGTTCTGTAAGTCGCGCTGAAGCAGTCCGATTCAGTGTACGGTTTCTGGCGTTATGGACTTCTTACCTTAGCGCCTCTATGTTGGTTTGCGAGCATCTTTCGTATAAACTTTGTTATATTAACGCATGGTAAGTAGATGTGCTGTCGCGCACGTTGATTTCATCTTAGGCATCAGCATGACCAAAAGCCTATAATCAAGTTACTGGAAAGTTCATGGAAGGCAATCTGGGATCGTCTCTAACAAATAAGTTTCATGTATAAATATGGAAGGCCTAAAAAGATACCACGACGTTATAGAAATCTCCGTTAGGCCACTTTTTAGCACTGTTTGCAAAAAGCAGTAGAAATAATTGAACTAAAGGTGTGGATGCACTTTGTTTCCATCCAAGAAACAGAACCCCCTGGAAGGTTTGGATCTCGAAAAAATTGGTGGACTTTAGTAGACCATGATTATTTGGATTGCCGGTGAAAGACGAAACGCACTACTTATTTTCTACTGTAATATCGCTTTAGGTCTTCATATTACATGGCCTTCAGTTCATGAAATTGTGGGGCATGCTAGTTAGCCCGTTTGCTGCATACTATCAAGTATGTCCTCTTCAGTAATATCTTTTGAAGAACCTGGTCGAAAATTGATATCATCTCTCAACACGTTTCTACCTGCACATGCAACAATCGGTTTGCTGCGAACCCAGTCAATTCCGATAAGTCCATTTCCGTGGTTCACAAGCACAACAGAAACCAAGAAGCAAAATGTGAAAAGAATAGCGCACGTTCCTACAAAGGCGTATTTGGCTATGGTTCATATCCCATTAAAAAATTGCTAGAAAAAAATTTTCTTTTATGGTGGAAGAAAGATATCACGAAATATCAGTACTCACCAACAAATTTCGGAGTTAATGTGTTCGCAACATCCTGCAGGCCCTCCGGTAGCGATTCATTATGCGTCAAACCGAATTCGAGAAGATCTTGAACGAAACTATTCTACATGTACCATGTACATGTATGTTTTCAAGATACTAAATGTGCATTGTCGTTGATGTGCTCGGGTCTGTCAATGAAAACCTCTAAGCTTCTCAGGTCCTAGATTTTTGCTGAGCTATCAGTAGAGTGGCCAAGAAGGACGAAGTCATAGGTTGTTCTTTCACTGACGTTGGAAGTCTGCCAGTAAAAAGAGTCTTCTTCACAGCCAAAACAAGTTATAGATGTAACTTTTATCTCTTGTTCTATCTTAATCTGAGTGATCAAACACATTCACTCCCAAGTTTTTGAGTTATTTTCAGAATATCTATTCTTTCTAACAAACATTAAGCTTGCCTCACCTGAAGGAGGTTTTTCACGGTCAGTCAACCACGCGGTAAGCTTCTTCCTCCAAACGAAGCTGATGTTACCAACCTAAACGGAACCAAGTAATATTTGAAGATTTTACATTCACAACCCAGTTTTCGAACCTATTTCCAAAATACCATTGCATTAGAATAAGCACCTAAAGTTTAGAGTGCGATTCAAGTTTTGCTCATAAAAGACTTGGAATCCTCCCAACGGTTTACCGCTTCATCGTGGGTAGGAGGTGTTCCTAAGTCTCGAGCTGCGATTTACAGAGAGGGGATTCATCCTTCCGGCAGGGTCTCCCATGCTGAGAAGGTGTGCAGCGTTTCACTCTGGAAGCTCAGCTAAGAGTAAACCAATACCAGGATCCACCACCGACCTGGTATCAAACTTGTCGCATGGTGTCAAATCTCCCTCTAATCCTCAAGGGCGGCGACTGCCTGTGGTGGTGAAGGCCTGGGGTAGACATTGACTAGGTTGACCTCTTGACTGCAAACAACCACAATGGCTAAGCAGCAAAACTCTGAGAAAAGGAAATTTTGCTGAGGTCCGCAAAACTAGTGAGGACGGGCCATCCAAGTATGCAAATAAGTAAAAAAAACTTGGAATACCTCTTTTCGAATATCCTAGTTTTTTGTTTTGGATTTGGACCATCCAAGAAGGAAAAGAATTAATGGAAAATTTTATGGAAATGTCATTGAACATAACCGATTGAGCGGCCAAAACATACAAGCGTTCAAATAAGTGACTTTTAATAAACCTCTTTTCCGTACTTTTACTTACTTTTTCTTTATTTCAAAGCAATTTTCTCAAAGACTTTACAAATAATAGACCAATTTCGCAAATCAAATAGCTCTATTTCTACATTTTTAAAGTTTTGTTAAGAATTCCTTCACCACCTTCTCTTCTCTGACGTTATAGGTGAGCCTGAGTGCTGTCGCACGATCAAAATGACCTTGATTGTCGGCAAGGTGTGGATCACCAACCAGCGCTCCGAAATAGATCGGTTCTGATCCTCTCCATCCGATCGGATACGTTATATTGACCTATAAAGCTCACTACTAGTACTAGTTGGAAGCAAAACTTTTTGATGCATTGTTATAGAAAACTTCTTGCATGTTTACATGGAATATTTTAGTGTAGTTCCACTTCCCTATTGTAAGCATGCCATTTGCTGGAGTTTGCTCTCAGCTGATCGAAAATGAGTAATTCCTGCCGTCAGTAGTTTTTTGGAGTCACCACTAACGGTCAGCTTATAAAGTCTCTTTATATGTCAAAATTCGAAAGCTCAACGGAACCAATTCTTAGGTTGAGGTTACCAGTGCGGCGGAAGCCATTTACGTTTCCTCCCCAATCTTCAAAAGACGTTCTTGACCCTTGGAAGATTAACGTGCGAGGAATACGGAATTCAAGTGATTTTGCTCCAATAATTTAAATCCGCGAAGTGTTTTATCGACGGTCTTCAAAAAATTGGAACCAGTGGTTTTCTAAAAATTTGCTTTGAGTTAATCTCGATGGTTTATTTTTATGACACGAATCATGTGGCTTCTGTATTCTTGCAGTGATCGTCCACGAGGATTAAGTGCTATCCGTATGGCCAGTTCCGATCGATTGGTCAGTGGTAAGTAAAGTAGGCTAAGGCGTGACTCTCTCTTAGGCGATTTCCTTAGCGATGCTTTCACGCTCTTAGATCCTCTTTGTTACTTGTTTCGCAAATCTCTTGCCAACTACCAAGTGCTTTACAAGATGCTTTCCTTTCCTTCCGATAGCTATGTTTCTAAAATGGTTTGTGCCATTCATTGCATTGCCAGCATTTGGCAAAAATATTAATGGAGAAGTTGATCCAAGAGATCTATATGTCTTAACTACGCAGAATAGTATAGGAAAACAATGAAATGCGCTTAGAGGTTTCTATAAGTTTATTGGTGAGCAGCATAAGTTATCTGAATGTGGGCATCGCTGTTATCCATCTTCTATGGTCGCCTAGTTCCCTACGTCTGAAATAAGCTCAACCTTCAATACAGTGCAATTTCGTATTTCATGTCTTAATAGACAAACATCTACAGTTCTACATTTTAGGCTAAGATATCAGGTATTAGAAACGTTTTTTTTGAAAAAAGTTTCTTTGCCATAGAAGAACTGGAGAGGGCATTTTCATTCAGAAAAATGCATTTGTCACCCTCATCCAAACACCTTGTTGTCTACTACAGCGAGAAGTGAATAATTACTAAAAGTGTAGATTTTTTCTTTTCCTCACAAGTCCGTTATCCTTACGGAGTGAAAATCTGAACTGTGCTATGATTTCTGTCCCAGACAAAAATCTGAGAGCAGAATTTGTACCCGTTCAAGAATCGAACTGAGATAGTGTCATCAGCCTCCATATTTTGAAACCTTATTCATTCTCAGTAAAGGTGATTTGACTAGGCTTGATGATATCCTACCATACTTCTGCGACTGGCTAGATCTATAAACAGGATACCGGATTTTAATTTAACAAACCTTGATGGAATGCAAATTTTGCTCGGAAATGGAGGGAGTGCAACCTGCTTGGCTCGTTAGGATAGGGAAATCTTTCAATTCGTAGCTGAAACTGTACGGTGGTCATATCCATTAAAGAATCCTAGTGGAATGGATCCGAAAACTCGTGCGTATGAAAACTGTCGCAAAGCGTGGTCGACTTCTCAGTGAACCAGGCTGTAAGACTGCGATTTCGTCCCAACCATTTCTTGTTTTTCGTTACAATTGGTGTACTTAGAGGACGCGAACTATTCGATCACATATAAGTGTTCGTTTGATATTATGTTTGAAATGTCATGATGCCAACTGCTATATTATTAAAAGCTGTCCTTTCGAATTACGAGAATGCAAAGTCTTCAGATATTGTCTGCTTGACAACGCAGACAATGTCTGATTTCAGCCTAACCCGGGACTATAGACTCTTTCTGGGTAAACGAAGTTGGTTTGGAATACATATGAAATCCATAGACAGAAATATGGAAACGTATAGCACAGTAATTGTGACTAGTGATGTCCGTCATCACGAGCATGGTGCTAGTTCGATTCCGCTCCGGACCAACCAGGCCTCTCACCTTCCGTGGTCGGAAAATTGGTACCGGACTTGTCTGAAACAAATTTCACCCTGCAATCCAATTAAGAACTTTTTAGCCCAGCCATCTCAGGGCTCCAGGGAAAATTGCTCGACCAATATTTTACAACATTCAAGATGAAACGAAGATCCTCAAGAAGCACCGAAGCCACACGTAAAAGTTGGAAGGCATTCGTGGACAATGGATGCGAGGAAACGAATCGAATGTGAAGAGTGATGGAAACAGCACGGTAGACGTGAAGACGGGTCATAAAGGATAAAGGTTAAAGCTTTCGGCATTTATCAATCTCTGAGGGATGCGCCATGCATTCGACTTCATTAAGCATGGTTTGGAGATGGTTGAATGAATTTCTGGCCTTTACAATGACTCGCGATGGCCTACTAATGTATCAAGCCAGTACTGCTACCCTCCCAGACAAGTCTGGTTCCAAACTGCCGACTCCGGAGGGAAGGAAGGCTTGGTGAGCCATGGGCGCGGAGACCGATTCCACGTGTGTGCCGCAGTGGCGCCACCAACCACTGCGTCACACGAGCCCCTAGGGCAGTTCATATAAAATAAGAAAATAACACTGAAATAAAAAAGCAGTGCATTAAAAGGATTGATTGCAAAAATCAAAGATTCGACCACTTACTGGGAGGCGGTCATTGATGACTACTCTCATCACATAAGTTTCAAATGTTACTGCAAATGTCAGTTCTAACAAGGCAATTCCGCCGTAAATAAAAATTTCAGTTAGACGGATTCATAAAGCGTTACGTCATTCACGGAACAGCAACCTCATTATTGATGATATCACTGGCGAATTCGGCTATCGGACCATTGAAATTACCCCAACGACTTCTTGGCATTAGCATCGTTAGATGGTCGTTCAGGTAGCAAGCCCAGTCATAAGTCATACACAGATCCGTGTAGGCGACCTGAACACCTGAGTGATTTTTTACAGAAAAATCGAAAAATTCGTCGTCGAGTCTCCAGGAGAAATCAGAAACGTACCTTATTCTTTTGTGCTCACACTTATGGTAAAATCTGTGATTTCCTTTTTCGAGAAAAATGTATAATGGTGAAAAACTAACGGAAGGATGTCGGCTCATTTGCCAATGAATTTGGATGAGCTCTTGAAAAAGGCAATTGCCATTGTAAGTCAAGGTTTTACAATTTTAGTCTATTCTTGTGCTGCATTCACGAGATCTCCCAAATTCCAAAATAGAGATTCTAAATTAGAAGATCCTTCGTATTTTTCGATCTTTTCTCATTTTAGCTTTCATAAAACACTTCTAACTAGCTCCCACGAACTACTTTCGATTAACCTCGGCCATGTTCAAGTAATTTTTTATATTCTTGTTAAGCAAACGCGAGGTGTTATTTTATTCTTTTTTCAAGACCAAGCTAACATTTCAGCGGATTTCGCCTTTCTCAGAGCCTGGGAAGGTCAAATTAGTCGCAATCTGACCTGCCAAACACAATTAACTTGACCCTTCCAGGCTATGAGAAAGGGGAAATTTTTCAAAACGTTAAGTTTTAACTAACTTATACTTTTTAGTACAATAGTAAAACTGGAAGTAGATCTCTTTCCATCGAACGTCCTTGTATTTGTATACGCAATTTTGACATTCTGATGACTACTTCATGATGATTACTTCTATTTTAATGCACAAATATCTATATATATCTAAAAATGGTGTTTACATATGCATTCTTTTTTGATAAGCTTGCACGAGGTTGATAAATATATTTATTTTCGGCTAACGTTTCGACGTCTTCGTCTTCCTCAGAGCCGGTGATCCGAGTCGATGGTCCATGCTTGTTGTTCGCCTCGACGTTGCGTCTTCGCCTTCGTGTCGAGCCAGATCTTCCCCAGCGAGCCATCTTCTCGAATGAGGCATCCTCACTCAGTGATGCCCTTTTATACACGATGCTGATGGTGTATGTATAATAATAATGTCCGGTGGTAACAACTTGTATTTCTTCCGGACATACATCATTGCGCACATCGTGCAGAGGTCGGTGTTTTCATCAGCTAGCATTATACATACACCATCAGCATCGTGTATAAAAGGGCATCACTGAGTAAGGATGCCTCATTCGAGAAGATGGCTCACTGGGGAAGACCTGGCTCGACACGAAGGCGAAGCTGGAACGTCGAGACGAACAACAAGCATGGACCATCGACTCGGATCATCGGCTCTGAGGAAGGCGAAGACGTCGAAACGTTAGCCGAAAACAAATATATTCATCAACCTCGTGCAAGCTTATCAAGAAAGAATATATATTGATTAGTCACACCGAGGTTGAAGGTGTTTACATAGTTTATATTCTGGAATAAGGTGGAAAAAAAGTAAATGAAAGTGTCCACTTATATTTCAGCCATATTTGACGTCGCTGTCTTCAGCAGGACGACACTCACCTCATAGTGTTTTCCGTCAATGTCTACCGGTACAGTAACATTATTGATTATGTATTGATTAATCCGTGACACTTCATCCAGATATTTCAGGTTCAGGATATTTGGTCGTCCATACTGTGGATGTTCTTTTCCGGCCACTAAATTACAAACAAATTTAGAGAGAAGAAAATGAAGCAAAATAAGTCATTTAGAGGTGTCATGTATTTCTTGACTTCAGTTCGAATGTTTTGAGGTCAATAATTTTCAAACAATGAGAACTCCAAGAGGGACCATTTAAAGCGAAACTAATGTAGTCATCTTTAGAAAAATGAAGGAAAGCTGAACATAAAATAGAAAGAAAAGAATGACCTATAATATCAATGTACCCTTTGAGGTCGTAGCTTTTCCCTGGCCAAAATCGTTGTTCGTCTAGCGGCCAGTGCTCCGACAGTACCTGAAATTCAACGCTCTTCTCTACTGTTCGAGTAGAAATAGTAGAAAAAGAGATAGAAGCACATGAGAATGAGAGATTGACAAATTTCACATATATCGAAAAACTCACGATAAATAGCATTACCTATTTTGGATAGGGACAGACAGCCAGAAAGGGGATAAGAGATTTTAAATAAATGTGGACTCGCATGGTATGGTGGCGAACGCGTTAGCGCCGGGAAAGGGTAATAGCGTGTTCGGTCCTCACCGCAGACACCAGTGGTCCGGAGTTCCGTAAATATCGCAGCATCATTATGGTTAAATGTGGATTATTATGCTTAAATTTAGGCGACGCATCGAACGTGAATTTTTATTGAAAAGAAGAGTTGTCGCAAAGATTCACTAGCCAAAATCTGTTTTACTATAAAATTTTCACAATACCGCTTACCGCAAATTCATATCTCCAGCGTGCATTTATTGGCGAGAATACAAATTGAGGATCTCTTGTCGTCTGAAAATAAGTCTTAAATTATTATTTGATGTCTATTTGCATTGCCAAAGCTTTGTGTGATTTTTGCGACTAGTGTTCCCGTTCATTAGGCGGATGCCTCAACCACAGTAGCAACGATTCCATCGCGCTCCAAGCTCAACAAGCCTCTCTTCTCTTCGCTGTCAGGAAATCGCTACAGACTGGGTTGAGATAAACTGACTCAGTGTAATCCACGTGTGAACACCCTAGCAGGGGTATCTCAGTATGCTATAGAGAATTGACTTGAGAACCTCTCGACGACACAAGTAGTAGTCGAACCCTGACACAAAAATGTCCGAAAACCTTCGTAGATGATGAATGGGAGAGAAACGAATCGAATATAGAAAGTACTGGATTAAGAGCAAAGGAGACGACGTCAGTTAATTGGACGGCTTAGGGTACGTGGCGTCTCCTGCTATGACGGATAAAAGGTAAATCGTAGACCTCTATAAACTGAGTATATCGAATAGAGGAAAACCTCAATGATATTGAATCAATATCAATATCATTGAGGTTTTCCTCTATTCGACGTCTATTTATTGCAGATAATTTCTCGCTCTGTTGTCCTTAGTGAGGTATCATTCCTAACCACACAACTCACTAAACAAGCTAGACCGTTTTTTTTATTGTGATTATAACTAAGCCTCAGCTTAACTGGGTTCAATGCCGATTTGTGCTCCCCAGTTCAATCCCTCTGACGGGTGATTACTGATGGCAAAAGATCGATAAAACTAGCTGAGAGACGGGCGAAACGAAGGACCTGCATGGTGTGGCGGTGAAGTGCGCTACTCCCCGGAAAGGACAACAGCGCGTTCGTTCGCCAACGCAGACACCTGCGGTCCGGAGTTTTGCAAATATCTCAGCATTATAGATGCTATTTCACTTTTATCACTACTCAAGTGCTGACTGCAACGTGTCGGCTTAATAGAGCACTGTAAAGCGATGTAAATAGCAGCATACATGCCATTTACAACAATGAATTGAAAGGCCCTTCTCTTCTACAATTCTGTTATATTTCCAACCTTTAATGAATTTATTGAAAAAGTATTTTTCATTGTCAAAGACCAATATAACAGTAAAAATACCTTTTTAATAAATTCATTAAAGGTTGGAAATATAACAGAATTGTAGAAGAGAAGGACCTTTCAATTCATAGTTTTAAATGGCATGTATGCTGCTATTTACTTCGCTTTACAGTGCTCTATTAAGCCGACACGTTGCAGTCAGCACTTGAGTAGTGATGAAAATGAAATAACAGTTATTTTCTAGCCAAATTATTGGTCAACAAACTCTTTCAAAAATGGTTTTCTCGTCCCACCCTTACCACTTTGATCTCTTTCCAATTAGCCGTTAAATGAATATACATGGAGCGGTAAAAAAAATTCTGAAACGTTCTAAATTAAAAACTGACAATCACCAGTATCACCTGTAGTCCAGTTGATCGTCGAGTGACTCGAGCGGGCGCCTGTAAATTTTCCATTTTTCCCTGTCGCGTGCAAGAGTAGCACAGTGAGTTCTGCTCGTTCTGGAGACTAGTCGAGCATCATATCTTTCTTCTAGGCTCCGTGAAGAACTCTGACAATCGGGTCGGTGGTCTTCCTACAGTCCTTTCGACATCCTGAGGAATCCAGTCACCGACGGCTCATGTCCATCGGTTGTCATTCATACGCATTACGTGTCCGGGCCACCTTATCTTCCACTGCTTGGAGTGCAGAAACCGAAAGGTTGGAAATGGACAATTTGTCTGTAATATCGGTTGCTATGGGATATCGAATTTCAGGTTCCCTCGACTTTCTGTAGATGAAAACGAAAAGTGCACGTCGTTCATTGTAAATTTTGATTTTATTCAAGTGCGTGGAACTTTTTTTCAATGAAACAGCCTTGAAGAATCGGAAAAATTGCCTATCAGTGCTTCGACGACTTACAAATTCGAAGGATATTGTGACGAAAAAATAAGACACGGATTTTGGGTGCGAATGCTAGTGGTGCTTTATTAAAACATAACAAACCATGAAGCTCTTAACGTTGATCAATTTTTGTGCGGTGAGCCATATAGTGAAGAGGACAAAGAACATCCGACTCCGTGCCTAACTTTTCGACTCAATGGTACTTCCTGCCCTAACGTATGCGTCTGAAACCTGGCCGCTGCATAAACAGGATGAAAGGTCACTCAGCGTTATCGAACGCGCAGTCGAAAGGGCGATGCTAGGAGTATCCCGTTCCACACAAGTAAGGGATGGGATCCGAAGCTCTGACCTGCGTCAGCGATCAAAAATCAAAGACGCCGTTTTGTATGCCAAACAGTCAAAGATAAGGTGTGCTGGACACGTAATGCGTATGAATGACAACCGATGGACAACAGCCGTTAATGACTGAATTCCTCGGGATGTCAAACGTACTGCAGGATGACTCCCGACCCGATTGTCAGAGTTCTTCACGGAGAGCCTAGAGGAAAGATATGATGCTCGAATTGTCCCTACAGCAAGCAGAACCCATTGGGCTACTTTTGCACGCGACAGGGAAAAATGGAAGATTTACAGGCGCCCGCTCGAGTCACCCGACGAACAACGGGACTACAGGTAATACAGGTGACAGGTGAGCCATGCATTCAACTTCATCAAGCGTTTCTAAAGTTGATTGAATGAATGTATATTTCGCCAAAGTAGTGACTTATGACGAGTTAACAATATAATAAGTGAGTTTGCAAAACTCTGGACCGCAGGTGTCTATGGTGGGGAACGAACGCGCTATTATCCTTTCCGGGGAGTAACGCGTTCACCACCACACCATGCGGATCCTTTGTTTCGCACGTCTCTCAGCTATTATAAATTATAGAAGGCAGAAAACAAAACGTTAAACATAATAAGTGAGTGTTTTTATCCTCCCGTACCAGTCTGGTAGCAGTCTGCCGAACCCGCGCGGATAGAAGGCTTGGTGAGCACGAGCTGCGGAATCGAATAAATCATCGATCCAGAGTGAATTACAGAAACCTTTAACCACGGTGCTACATGCGTCTCGATAAGTAAGAAGCATTTCGAAAAAAGTTGAGCCGTTATATCGAATTTTTATATTAACAAAAATCTAATTTTTACAAACCTGTTCATCTATCCATCTGAAGCCGTAACCGCACACTGCAGTGAAAACCAACGAAGATACAAGGAACTCGAGACGAAACTGAAAAAAATCTTTGCTTCCTCCCATTAAGTAGAAGAGCATTTTTTGCAGAGTAGTATTTTGCCGTAACAAAGCAGTGTTCTTGAGTGTTATGTTGTTATATACATATTGCAAAGAGCTTGTTAAGCGCAGTAAGGAAAAGCGACTTGTATTTGAGTCTTCAACCCCAAATACGGGTAAATATCTGTCCAGAATTGAAGATGTTCTGAAGCAAATGAAATGGCTAGGCAGTAAATCTCTCTCCACCTCATAAAAGGTGGCGAACATATGTGATTGGGACCGAAAATCTAGCAGTTTTTAGGAAAACCCTGAAAAAAGGAACCAGGAGGACCAACAAAAACTAGCTGCGGTGCACTCCACATTGGGTGCTTCCATCTATGATAGATTATCGAAGATACGATATAATTTCGACTTTTTAGAGGATCAGCCTTCTTAAAGCCGAACGACCGACAATCCTACGCTTTTGGTGGCAGTGGAAACAAGAAGACCGACATCGAAAATAGGAATGGAAGATGAGGTATAGGGCATTCAGGATTGTGTTTCTCTTAGGCGTGAGAAATGCATTTGACTAGATTAGGCCTCGTAAAGATGACTATATGAGGTTTGATCACTAAAATTACGGCCGCCAACGTCTAAGACAGTGACTTTTCTCCTTAGAGAGTAGTCTGGCAAAAATACCCTGATCTCTCAGAAGGTAGGGCTTGATTGAACTGTAACTATCGCAGGGTATGCCTAACCACTTCATTACCCACACCGTCGTACCCGAGGAACTCGACTTAATTGCAGGACCTGAACTATTCGAAAAGAATGGATACCGTTGCAATACCGGTGCAGACTTTGCTAGCCCATCCAACCAACCCGTTTCTTCGACAAAATCATTAAAATTAGTAATTGTTGTAATTTCTTATAAACAAACATGGACTACTGAGAAGGGCTAAATTATGTTGTTCTCGGACGGATGAATGAGGTAATCAAAAACGAGTGGATACAAAAGCCGTTATTTGGAACTGAGAACCGAAATGAGAGTTGAAACATCCAGGCTACTCTTTTCTTCAGAAAAGCTTTCTTGGACGAAAATTCGTTTTTCGAAAAGAAGAAGATTTCAGTTGGACACGGGAATCGCCAAATAGTGCTCCTGTAGATCGAACAGAGATGTCACGTAAGGGAATCTGATCGGCGCTCCATGCAACTATTCGATTTAGGTGCAAATCGAAAAAAGTACAATTTGGCGAGAAGAAATGACGCGAAATGTTGGAGGAACACTCTGCGCAGTATCCTTCCTTCAATGAGAAGTAGCTAAAGAGAAATGCGACTGAGAACTCTACTACGTGCTTCTAGAAAGACATCAGTAGTACTCCAAGCACATCCTAGCTCTACAATCAAGTGATTCAGATGTTATATTTCCACCTTAAAGGATATAATAAGGATAAGGTTCTCGG